GTGATATGGAAAGTACAACCATGCCTTCAAGGCATGGACAATTTTTTTTCTTGGCACACAGTGCCAATTGTTTGTCCAAGGGATTGCATGTTCCCCGGCACCAGGAAAGAGTGCTGTTGCTCTTCCTGAACATTGCTCTTCCAGGCCATCACAGCTATAGGATGTCTGTTGAAGACTTGGTAATTATGAGGGCAGTGGATCAGAGGACATGATGACACGGACGCCAGCTCGCTCAGGTGGAATATGAGCCATAACTTACCACAAGGCAGAAAGAGCTGAACTTTGTTCATTCCATTATGAACAACAGCAACAACAACAAAAACCCCAACTTGATAACAGGAGCTATTAATAGGCTCTGACATATCCAGCAACATTGCCCATAGGCCCTGCATTCATCAGATCGCCTTGTTGGGATATAGTCCCTGTCTGGTCACTGAACTTCACACAGACGTGAGAAAACTGGCAAAGATCCAGAGCTCACCCTCCTTGATAGACAATGGAAGAATCCCAGAGAAAAATCAAAGGCATCAGGCAGGTTCACTTTGCAAAAAAAAAAAAAAAAAAAAAAAGAGCCATTATTTTGGCTCTCAGGCTGAGCAGTTCTCTGTGAGGCTTCTTCACAGATTGTTATTCAGATGTTAGGATCTGAATTTTCAAGGCCTCTGGCTCTGGAAATACTTGAGAAGCTGCCTGTTTTTACTGCTCCGGGTAGTAGTACACTCACTACTGGCTTCCAGGGCTCCTACTCCAGCCTTGAGACAGCTATTTCCTGGCAGCTCCCAGAGGATGGGTGGGTCTAAGGAAAATGCTCCCCAGGTTGTGTGGGCAGGTTTTCTCCTTCAGTTCTTCCTGTATTTACAGCCAGCCAGGTTGGCATCTGTTAACGTCATCTGATCCTGTCATTCCAGCCTTGCCATGACTTATGGGCACGGGACTTAAAGAGGGCGGGGAAGTGGAAACAACCGAAGGGAGGCCCTCTCATGTTGACATGGGGAGTGGGAGTGGCCTAGGAGGGCTTAAAAGCTTTTTAGTTCAGTTCCTACAAGGTATCAGGTGCTTTATATTACATTCTTTTGAAATATCAAAACAACCTTGGAGGTAGGTTTTCACAGCTGTGGAATTGGGATTAAGTAATTGGCCCATAGTTACACTGCCAATAAAGGCGTACCTACAATATGTGTACCTAGCAGGAAAATCTGTGCCGGTCTCTTCAGGGCTTCCAGACGTGAAAATTGCAGACCGGAGGCTTCCTACCTAAAGCCACACATGCTAACACGAGACAGAAGATCAAAGCTCCTTACTGTTCCTAAGGCCTCTAAGACACACATCATATAATACCTGATGCGGGGAGATCCAGGAGAGGCCAGGCCCACGCCAGCAAAGTATAAAGACCGGGTGGACCAACGAAGCCCACAGACTCTCGTCTCTACCCTATAGACATGTAACCCAACCCCAAGGTCCTGAAAATGTGATCCCGAGTCGGGGTGGCTGAGTGGGGTTCCTTCAGGGAAAATGGTCGCGCTTCTCGGCTTCTGGAGTCAATCTGGGGCCTTAGGGTCAGTCTATCTTAGCAGGGCCTTATTGTGAGTTACTTAAAACTCTTGAGTCTCCTCATCTATAAAACGGGAGCATGGGCAAACCGCTTGTGCATTGCTTGAAGGGCACAGATGCAAAAGCTGAGTTGTTGCGCATCGAAGACACACGATCTGATCTCACTATTGCGTCAGGGCGAGACGTTCTTTCGTGAGGCTGCAGCTCAGAGGCTCCCCAAAGGGTCGAAGAGCTAGCCCAGGGAAAAGCCTACATCTCCCAGGAGGCGCCAGGCGGGCGGGTGAGGAGGCAGCGTAGAAACTACATTTCCCGAGAGGCGCAACGCGGTAGGCGCGTGGCAGTGACGTCACGGGGCCCGGCTCAGTGAGTTGATTCGACCGCAGCTGCCAGCGGGTTGGCTACCGCCGCTGGTTTGCTACAGCTGCTGGAGCGGCCGCGGCCCGGGTTCTCGGGCTCCTCTCCCCGGCCCTCGAGCTCCGGCCCCGCGCGGTGAGTCCATACGGGCGGCCTCGGCGTGGTGAAGCCCGACGGCTCCACGGCTTGGAGAGGCGAGAAGGTTGCTGCTGAGGAGGCGTCCGTGCAGGAGGAGACCTGAGCTGGGTGGCTGGGGGGTGGAGAGTGTGTGCATCAGGCGAAGGAGTGCCGAGAGAGGAAAGTGGGTGCGGGAGGCCGGGGGGGTGGGGCGTCCGGGAGGAGCGCTTCAGCTTGGGGGTGGGAGGCGGGGAACGGCTGGACTTCGGGGATAAAGATTTGGCTACCTCCGGGGTTGAGGGAATGCGTGGAGATGGGGGTTGGGCCCCGAACCCGGCCAGGCTGCAAGTGCGAGGTACCGGGCTGCGAAGCAGAGCGGGAGGCCCTCTGGAAGGAGTTCTCGCTCGCACAGTCCAGTAAAGCGAGGACACCGTTTCCTCGCTCCTGATTCCTGGGGGTTCGCTTTCTTTCCACTCCGCTTTACTGAGTACAGGAATCCGGGCCCGGAGGACAACCGTGGTTCTTCAGATTCAGGGTGAGCCGAGTGAAAGAGACATACTGTATATTGCACGAACTCCCTCTTAGGATCCCTTGGGAACAGGTTTGCTGTGTTAAAGGGCCAGCCTTAAGCTGGAGGGAGGACATTGGAAGTGCTTACCGGATGGCTCCGCTGGGGGGTTAATCTGGTCTTGGCATGAGTGCCTGGCAGACTGGCTTGGGCCTGCATGGAAAAGGGAGGGGGGGAAAATATATATATATATATATATATATATATATATATATATATATATATATGGCTAAAAAGTGGCTAACAAGACCAGGCCGTTTTGGGCTCTGATTTGAGGCAGGTTATGAAACCACATCAGCCACCTACCAGCTGTGGCAGCAGAAGTTTTCAGTCTGGCTGCTCCAGACTTTTCTGCCTCTGCCAATCTCCTATTTCCTCACTTCTGGGAGAAAGGTCAGTTTTGTTCTAATGGAAGTGACATTGTACACAAAGCCACAGGAAAGTCTCAGAAGTACTTTGGGGGTTGGCGGGAGAGGGTGCAGGGGGTTTCCTGGGGTTCCTTACTTGCTTTGAAAGGCAACTGGCACTTAGGCTTAAGGAAGATGATGCCCATGGGATCAGTTAGGCCTTTTAGAGCCAGAAAGGGCTGGAGGGTCTTGTAAGCCTGGGATCCAGCCAGGCTTTTGACACTCCTGAACAAAATGTGAGGGAGTTCTGTCTGTAGCTGTGCCTGCTGCAGGCCTGGCTTATGGCGGAGGGATAGCAGTTCCTGGTGAGACTTGGGAAACTCTTTTCCTCACCTTCATGATCTTTCAGAGACTTCATGTCTCCTTCCCTGCCTCTCATGTGGAGGCTGTTATATAGTAGATGTCCCAGGAGGCCTGTGTTGAGTAACCGAAGCCCTAAGGTCTGAGGAAGGTAAACAACTGGTTTTCTAGTTCCTTGGGTTTCTGTTGGGACCAATTATCCATCTTAATGGGTCAGGGGTTTAGTCCCAGAGGAGTATGTCCGCTTGGATGCACCCTAGGCCAACTCACGGGTCTGTTTGTGAGGAAACTGTTGCGGGTCGTATTTCCTGAGGTATCTGAGAAGAGGGAACTTGCTTCCATTACACGTAAGTAAGGAACTTAGCTGGGAGAATTCTGGCTCCTCTGGAAGAGGCGTGGCCAGGATCCTAGCTGGGTGAGATAGCATCTGAGTCTGGGGGTGAGGTGATTGCAGCAGGGTGATAGCAGACGGTCTGGCACTTCCAGACCGTCTCCGTCTGCTGCTCTGCTCTGCACACCTTGAAACGGCGGAGTTGTTGAGCCCAGTGATTACACTGGGGCCTTTTATCAGGCAGGACCCTAAAGTGGGGAGGTAATCCAGCAGACTGATGCCTTCTGTTTCCACCACCTGCTGATGGATCAGTGGGCCCTGGGGAATCTGGGGACAGCCAAGCCGCTCTCCCCTCTGGCCACTGTGGACTGCCGCTACCATGGTTTTCTGGGCATTGAGGGCAGCCCTTTCGGTTCCTTGTGATGGAGAGCTTCTACTGCTGGAACTGGGCAAGAAAGCGATGTTGTTAGCTTACACCCACAGACACCTGGGAAGGTCAGGTGGGGCTAAGAAGGGAGGAGGCTGCAGGGAGGCCACAGGTAGTTTTGTGTCCTTGGGAGGAGTAGGGCTGATATGGCTACCACATCCCACCCGTGGGAACTGTAATACCGGCTGTGCTCTGTCCTGTCCTCCTCTCTATCTGGTGGTGGTGGGGGGAAGAACCCTCTGGTACTTGGGCTGCCTAATGGTGGCACCCCAGGAGAGTAGGCTTGAGCAGGTGCCAAACGGACCAAATGTCCCAATACATGTGTCATTTTGTGTCGAAATGTTTTTGGGTCTGAGCAAAGGCTGTCCCTGGCCTGCTGTTTTCCCTCTTTCCCCGACCCTGTCAGTCATCCTGGGCCCAGGCTTGTGGAAATCCAGGATTGGAGAAATAGGGATGGTGGGAACAGTAGCCCCAAAGGGCTTCATCCATTGTTGCCTGTGCCCACAGGCCTTCCCTGCTTCTTGCTCCTTTTGGAAAGATCTTGAAGTAGATGGATGTCTTCTGTCAGGGAGAGGGTTGCCAGTTTATTCTGACTAAGAGAGTAGGCCTCTCTCCCCACCCCAGGAGGAAGAGGCCCTCAGGGGTACCAGAGTGGGGAATGGACATTGATGGCCATTGACACCTCTGGGTGACTTGTCCTCCTAGCCTTTGTCAGCACACAGTCCCGGTAGATGATGTGTATGCCGACCTGGTGTTAATCGCAGCCCAGTGATGGGAAACGATTAGTGTACATTCATGCGGACTTTCTGCAGCTTCTGGGCTTGAGACTCAAAACAGTGGTGTGGAGTTCTCAGGGAATGAAAAGCCTGCCTCTCTGTGGGGCTCAGGGTGTGAGGGGGCAGGGAAAGTGGTGTGACCTGTCTCACCTGTGCTGCTTGTTTGCAGAGCAGCCGTCGAGAGGGGTGGCAGGATGAATGTGGGCACGGCACACAGTGAGGTGAACCCCAACACGCGGGTGATGAACAGCCGCGGCATCTGGCTGTCATACGTGCTGGCCATCGGGCTCCTGCATGTCGTGCTGCTGAGCATCCCCTTTGTGAGCGTCCCCGTCGTCTGGACCCTCACCAACCTCATCCACAACCTGGTGAGAGCCTGCTGATGGCCTGCCCCTGACCAGATGGGCCGTTGTATGCCAGAGCTGAGAGATAGGAGGAGCTTGTCATGAGACAGACAGCTGTCTGTCAGCGGGTCCTGACAACATCTGTCACCAGAGCTGAGGCCCAACTCTTATATCCGCCTGGCTTCCCCTTGTGGGCTGAAGAATCAGATCTGCATGTCTCCGGGGTGGGGTGGCTGATGCATTTGGAGGATGGCCAGCTGCGAGCTGAGACCCTGCTGAGGTTGCCTTCAGGTCCCAGGAATCTGGTGCAGAAACCTTCCTTTCCTACGTTAGGATCTCAAACCATGTTCTCCTGCCCCTTTGTGCTCCCTAAGACCTCTGCCTTGTACCCCACTTTTGACCAGGCAGGGGTCTAGTCCTTCCTCCTTGGTTTGCCACTTTTAGCTAGCAGAGAGAGACTCCAGTTGGGCTGAAAGGCTGCCTTGCTGTGCCCATTCAGCAGCTAACTCCTCCCCTTTTCACTTCCCCTTTGTCCTCCCTCTGAGCTCCTGGGTGCTCTATCATGTATTAAGGCTGCCTTCCTGAGTTACTGCAGAGGAAGGCAGGTGGCAGTCTGCTTGAAGCTCTCTTTGATGGATGGGGGTCAGGCTGGGCGTCGTCTTGTCTTCTATGTTCTCTGATGAAGGCCCCTCTTTTCAGGGCATGTACATCTTCCTGCACACGGTGAAAGGGACACCCTTTGAGACTCCAGACCAGGGCAAAGCAAGGCTGCTGACCCACTGGGAGCAGATGGATTATGGCGTCCAGTTCACGGCCTCCAGGAAGTTCTTGACCATCACACCGATTGTGCTGTGAGTGCTTTGGCTGTGGGAGAATACCAGCGGGCATGGTGAAGCTGGTGGACTAAGCTGGCCTTAAGCCCTCCCCAGCTTTGGCCCTTAGTGTATGGATGAGCACCGGGAGGGAAGTGACGGATCCTTGGGTCTCACATGGGGCCTTGGGCCTCCCTGGCCCTGACTTTTCTCAACTCTGCACTAGACAGGCCCACAGGCCTGGAGTAAGCTAGGGGATAGGTCAGGAGGGCCTTGTTAGCTAGTATGACTTGTCACTCTACTTTTTATCTGGGAACCCATACTGTCATATCTCCCTACTCCTCCTCCAGGTACTTCCTCACCAGCTTCTACACCAAGTATGACCAAGTCCATTTTGTACTCAATACTGTGTCCTTGATGAGCGTGCTCATTCCCAAGCTGCCCCAACTCCATGGAGTCCGGATTTTTGGAATCAATAAGTACTGAGGTTGTAGCCCCTTCCCCGGCCAGGTTGGCAGGGGAAGGGTAGAAGGCCTTTGCTGTGACGCTGAAAACAGGAGCCTCTGGACACTGCCAGAGATGGGGGTGTGCCCTGGGCCTGGCTTCCCCTTCGCTTCCCCAGTAGCCGACTTGGAGTAGCTTGTAGTGGGGTTAGGGTGGGGCCCTTGGGCTCTAACCCATTCTGAAGTTTTTGATCTTTTCCTTTTGCCTTTTGAATAGAGATGCCATGGGGGTGGTCGTGAAAAGGGCTTGGGCTCTCTGGCTGACTGGACCTGAGCAGCTGGGACCGGGAACCAGGAAAAACCCCCTGCTGGCTCGTTTACCCTCAGGCAGCCATAGCACTTTAGCCCCTGAGAAGGGGGCAGAGGGACGGTACAGCTTCTGCATTGTTTCCCCTCAGTCCTTCCATGTGTGTTTGGGGGGTGAGACTCACTGTTTTGTGTGTATTAGAAACGTGGGCTGCACTGCCTCCAGGTAGAGAGCAGTCAGGCTTTGTTGACTTCTTTGCAACCCACTCTGGGTGAGCTGTAGGGCAGGGGGATCTTAGGAAAGGAAGATGGGTTGGTGGGACACCTAGAGGTGGGGGCCAGGTGCTGCTGCCCTGGCCTTGGGGAGAGGGGAGTTCTGAGCAGGGGTACGGTAGGGAGAGTACTTTGGGTCTTAGACTGGACACGATAGCAGCCGATACGGATCAGTGTAAAAAAGAGGTCTAGGGTGGAGAAGCCAGACTCAGCCTCCTTTGGGATGTGGGCTGGAAGGAGAGCCGGCTTGGAAGGTTAATTTACCCACAGGATGATGGTGGTGGGGAAGGGAGGCCAGTGTGGGTTTGAAGCTCTTGGGTTGGAACGAGGGTTGCACAGGCTGGAAGAGGTCTGTGAGTCCTCCAAAGAGCAGGTCCGCTTTGACACTTCCTTAGCAGCGGTGTGAGGAAGCTTACAGAGAGGCTTTTCCTAAGCCATTCAACTTGTATTCTTGTGTAGACTGTGCTGGGGCAGTGCCTCTTGGGCGGCATGCATGTGAGGGGCCAGGGGGCCACCTCCATATGAGGTCAGTGGTCTCCGCAGTGCTACAGGATTCCTGCCCAGACAGGGCAGTATAGGGACAGCTGCAGGCACTGTCTCCTCAGCCAGAAGAGGCAGTTCACAGAGCATGAGGCTAGGCCAGAGAGGAGCCGTTGCCTCCCCTCGCTGGTTCGACCGGGGCATGTTGCTTTGGAAATGTGTGGGTGCCCAAGCCCTCTCCCAGGGGCTAGAGGGAGGTCACTCACTCTTGTTTTCTAACCGCTAACCCTCATTCTCAACCCCATGTATCATAGGGAACTTTCACCTTCTGGTCTTTCTAAGCAAAGTGTGAATAGGATTTTTACTCCCTTTGTACAGTATTCTGAAAAATGCAAATAAAGAGCAACATGTTCTGTTTCCCACATGTCTGGCCTCTGCTTCCTGGAGGGCCTTGGGGAGAGGGGTGGCAGCGTGGGCAACAGCAGCTCCTGCCTAGGTGATGGTGGGGACCTTGGGGCGCTGGTCTCCCAGGCCCAGGAGAGAGAGAAAGCCGAAGGGAGTTGTGAGGAAGCAGGTGAAGATCCTGCCAAGTCAGAGCAGAATCCCACTGTCTGTGCCGTGGCCTGCTGTTCTTCTGATTGGCTCTGAGCCTCTGGCTGGAGGAATTGGGAGTGGGGCTTGGTGGCCAGCAAGGTCAGTCCAGGCATGGCTTTGCAAATGGAGTGGGGTGGGAGTGACTTCTGGCACTCAGGTTTTCCCTCTGGCACCGCCTGTCTGTCCTCACTTCTCACCTGGGTCCTTCCCAGCTAGTTCCTGTTTGGGGAATGGTGTGCCTCCTGCTGTGAGGAGTAGGAAGGAGAGAGGGGTGCTGTGGCTTTTGCTCACACAGCTAGGAGAGGGTGGATTCTTTATCTCCTGAGGACACTGGCCTCTCAGGCTGTTCTGTGCAGTATTATCTGCTACTCCCTGGCCAGGTACAAAGTTCCAGGCCAGCCAAGAAGCTCCCTTCCCAGCAGCCGGGCTCCGTGGCCCTGGCCCAGCATTGCAGTGTTCTTGGAGTGGGAGTGAGGAGAAGTGTGATCTTTATCCTCATTTAGCTATACTGTCCCCTCCTCAAATAGGGACTGTATGGGATTGGGAGAAGTGCTGCCTGCCACTGGGCTCAGTCTTGGGGGTGGGGACGACCCACTTGCTTCCTTGGCCTTTCAGGACAAGGTGCCCAGGGTACCTGGACAGTGATCTTTGCTCAAATCCCAGCTCTGCCACTTGTAGCTCTGTGGTCTTATCTAGTTACTTTTCTGAGCTCAGTCTTCTGTTGATGAGGGCCTCTTCAGGCTGTTGTGGGCAAGGGCATGGTGCCTGAGGTAGAGCCAGCAGTTTAGTAGCTGTATTACAATTGCTCCCATCACCACTTCCTTCACTGTGCTTGTTCGGGACGGAGGAACGGGGAGGCCGGAGGAAAGGCTGGGCCGCTGTAGCAGTTACCTCTGAGGGAGGATAGCGGTGAGGCCAGAAGACTCCTGGGAGGAGGAGGTGGATGAAGAAGATAGATGGCATCCAGAGGGTCTGAGGAGGGGCCACATGGAAATGTGTCCTCTTGGGAGAGGCTGAGTAACCTGCTGGACTAACCTGATTCTGTGGCTTTTGCTGCACTCGTGTTTGGGTCTTCATTGCTGCCTCCTGCCTGCGTTCGCCTAGCTGGCCCTACCTTTTTTTTTTTTTTTTTAATCCTAGGCACACCCATGGCTATTTCCTTTCATGGTTGGGACCCAACTCATTTCAGCTCCCTGGATTGCACGACCCACTGCACTAATCTCTGGCTCCAAATCACCTATCCCATGTTTCAGAATCTCACTTACTCATAAGGTTAAAAGGGCAAGATCTCTTCTGGCCCTGTCTTTTCACGTGGGCCATAATTAGCATTATCTAAAGACCTGAGAGGTGGGGTGCCTCTCCATACCCAGCTTTGCAGGAGGTACTCATTCATGGTGGGGCCTCTCTGGTGCCTATCATAACATTCCAGCTGGGAGGTAGGCAGAGATCTGATGGAATTCTGACTCCATTTCAGGGAAGAAGCTGAGGCTGGTACATTTGAGATGGGCACGTGGTTCTGGGCAGCGTCTAGGCACCTAGACCACAAGAGAGCTGAGAACAGACTACCATGAAGGGACTGGAGACAGAGAAAATGGGTGGGGAGATGGCCGAGGCCAGGCATAAAGGACTTGGAAGGATTCAGGTGGTGGGGGTGCTGGGGCTGGCTTAGCACCCTGTCATTGGAAAAGGGTTGGCTGGGAAGCCCGGGGACCTGAGCAAGAGCCGAGGGAAGAGATAGCCATTAGGACCGATAACCTGAAGTCTTACGTTCAGCATTGGTGAGATGTAGCCTCCTCAACCCTCGTACCTCTGGGAATAGACAGCAACTTTGCGCTGAGAAATGCAGAAAGGGGGTTTCGCCTTCCCTGGGTGGGGCAACCCCTCGCCCCGTTTTGCCTCGGTAGGGAGAGGGATCTACAGTGGTCACCTTTACTTCTGTCGTGATTTCCTCACTTTCAAGAGGCAGGGAGGATGAGCCATTCCCGTTCCTAGTTGTCCTGGAACTTTGGGCCCTTGCTGGACCCCAGGCTGTCAAAGGCAGAAGATTAAAAAAAAAACATGAGTCAGGGACTGGTGAGATGGCTCAGTGGTTAAGAGTACTGGCTGCTCTTCCTAAGGATCTAGGTTCAGTTCCCAGCACCTGAATGGTCACTAACAAACCATATGTAATACCAGTTCCAGGAGATCAGACACCCTTCTTCTGACTTCCGTGGACACCAGGCATACGTGTGGTACATGTGGGCAAAAGACTCATACACACCAAATAAAAACCAATCTAAAAAAAGAGAACGTGAATTAAAGCCAGATGTGATGACCTGTATTCCCAGTGCTTGGGAGAGTGGAGGCAAGAAAAGTAGGAGCTGCTTGATGGACAGAAAGGTGTCACTGAGAGGCTTTGACCTCTTATCCCTTCCACACCCTCTAGGAAGCTGACGCAGAAACAATCTGCCTGCTTCATTCAAAACAAGTATGGAAGAAAATGTGTATCTGGTAACAGAAACTCTGGAAAAAGAAAAGGAGGAAACAGGGCAAACAAATGCAGCTAGGCAGTGGTGGCGCACACACCTTTAATCTCAGAGGCAGGAGAATCTCTGTGAGTTTGAGGCCAGCCTGCTCTACAAAGCCAGCACCACCACCTGGCTTCACTTGACATTCTGTTTTTTCTATCTTTCTTCATTCCTTTCCTCCTTTCCTTCACTCTTTTCTTCAATCTTTCTTTCTTTCTCTCTCTTTCTTTGTTTTTAATTAATTCAATTTACATCTTGGTTCACTTTGCATTCTTAATTACATGGGTATTTGATTCCTTATCTGCCTCTCTTTCTTAAGAGGCAGGAGGAGCTAGAGTCCCTGGAACAAAGCATGTCTTCAATATACACTTGTTAAATGAACAGTGCAAACAGCATGGGTTTGGTGTTAGACATAGGTTTGAATTTCAACTCTGCTTTTGGTTTCAGCTGTGGGACTGGCTCACATCCTTGCCTTACAGTTTTGGTCTCTCCATTTGCTAAACCAAGAATAAAAATGTCCACCTTCAAGGAGGGTTTGGGAGATGTGGCAAGATAGCAGTATAATATCAACACAAGCCCTTTCTCATTAGAACCAAAACAAAATCACAGTCCTTGACAGTACGATACTGGCCTATAGAAAGCAGCCTATCTTAAAAAATGGGAGATTATGTAAGCGAGATGCCGGGGGCACGGGAAATGCGGTCCTGAATGCATAGGTGGACGGATGAGTATTGACCGAAGCTCTGTATCAGCCTGGGATGGATGGGTGGAGGTAGGAGAGGAAGAAGGGAGGAGGGAGGCCTGAGAAGGCCTAAGGGCCATGTGGGCTCTGGCCAGTACTGACCCAGCATGTACTCACCATGCTAGCAATCTGGATCACAATCTCAGTCTCCTAACAGATGACAGTAGTGTTTCTTTCCTTCGTTGGGAGCAGAGCACGGGGACTGGGAGGGATGGAAAGAGGGCAAGGATACAGAAACAACTATTTTCTTATTCTTTCTCCCTCTTATCCCCATTCTCCCTTTGGTGCTGGTTTAGCTTTTGCCTTCTAGACTGAAGCAAAGTTTTTTTTGTTTTTTTTTTTCAAGTAAGCTCCTAGGCTATCTGCTCATCATTTCTGAACGGGCGAGGATGTTATTGTTAAACAGTAGACAGTGCGTGACTGAGACTGTAGTAGGTTGCCCTCAGAGGTGGAAGCCGCGGGGCGGGGAAGTCTGCTTATGGGGAAGCATCCTGGATCCACCGTTGCCTCAGGAGCCCCAGGCTCCTTCCAGGGAAATTCTGACTCACTAGGTGCCCTCACTGAAGGCCTGACGGTGAGGGCACACAGCTGAGCCATTCTGCTCATGTCAGCACAGGCCGTGGTGGTGGAAGAACTGCGCTGAAGTAGTCTCATGTCTAGTTGTGCCCTGAAGCCTCCCAGGTCCTGGCTTTTCTGATCAGACTGGGAAGGTCTATGGCTCTGAATGTACTTCCCCTGGCACATTTGGACTTTTCAAACCGAGATCCCGAGCAGGTCAGTCTCACTGCTGGAGAGGTCTTGGGAAGGGGGATGGAGGGCATGGTGTGTTGTCTCTGGGTGTCGGCTGTTGCTTGAGTCATCCAGGCACAGCCCTGTGGCTGGCTGCCTATCTCTAGGGATGTGGGAAGGAGTCTGCAACGTGGCAGGATTCATCTGTCCTCAGGTTCGTGTGATCCCCACTTGTTGGGATGGGCAGAGTGACATGGGGTGGTGTCTAGGGTCGCCATTGCTGTGATGAGACAGCATGACCAAAGCAACTTGGGAAGGAAAGGGCTGATTTAGCTTTCATTTCCACTTTACCATCAAAGGGAGTCAGAACAGCAACTCCAACAGGGCAGGCACCTGGAGACCTAGCTTTCTCTCCCTCCTTCTTCCCCACCCCCTCTTGCTTCATTCCTCTCAGGCTGGCCTTGAACTCTGTGCAGCCGAGGTTGGCTTTGAACTCCTTATCCTCCTTTCTGATCTTGGCTAGTGTTAGGATTACAGATGTGTGCCACTACCCCTGGCTCTGGGGTCTGTACTTTAAATGCTACAAATTAAACAACCAAATGTATTTCTGGATATGGCAAACCGGGACTGAATGGGGAGATGGAAGCCAGGTCAAGGGGTTGCTGCTGGGCACGTGTGGAAGAAGGATCTTCATCATAACAGAACAGATGAGTTTAGAGGAAGGGAAGACACAGAGATGAGGCAAAAACAACAGCAACAAGAAAAAGTAGACTGAAGTAAGATCTAGCCAGGCATAGTAGCACACTACTGTGATCCCAGTTCTTGAGGCAAGACCAGCATAAAGAAAGGCTA